CAAACCAAGCCTTGCTACTGCACCGCTCACACATGCTAAAGGTATACAGCTCACCTACATTAACCACCCCTCATGCATCAAACTCTGTTATTATCAGGTCTTACAGATTCAAAATAAAAGCCTGCAGCTGTCATGTCTTCTGCAACATCCAGGCTCTCTGAGCTTTAATGTTTTCCTCCCAGCTCGATGCTGATGCATTTGTTCTGGAGATGGCAGCATGAGCTGAACGAGCTGCCTGGGTGCAAAAATAAAATCAGGATTGTTTTTTCCAGAACTGGAAATGCTCCAGTAAACCAAATAGTACAATTTGGAAATATTAAATGGACTCTAGACCCTACCTGGAATTTGGGGACCTCCTGAGGACTTCCCCATTCAGTAAAAACTAGGCTTTCCTCTCTCCCCCCGTGTGGTTTTCTGCTCATTTACAGTTGTATAACTCTGCAGCACATCTGCTGACTGTCTGTGGTCTGATGCTAGGTCTATGTTGTGGGTACTCGTGAGCGCAAAGTAAGTACCTCTGACATGGCTGATGCACAGCTTGCAGGTCACAACCAAAAAGTGAGGAGCTGCTGTCATTAGAGGAGTTCTCGTATGTGTTGTGGTGCTTCTTATGAAAATTAGAGGCCCCTCAACTTTACCACAACAGCTACACTTACTTAGGTTTAAGAAACACAGTTCACTGCTTCACTGGTGTCCAACACTACGTCTCACAAAGGTAGCCAATAGCAGGATATCGTAGCGGGGGGCTCACGAGATAGTCCAGAATGAGTGGGAGCCCTATGGAGCTGAAACTTTGTTTTGTTTCCAGGTTTTGATTTCACCAAAAAGCTTTTCTGGGAGTGTTAAGACATGTCACAGTACCAAGAGCCACTCTACGATTTTCACTTAAGACACGAACCAGCAACCACAACCAACTGCTGCTTAGACATAGGTCAATTTCTTTACAGTTCTACATGTCTAGCCATTGTTTATCATTTCATAAATCCTTTAATGGATCAATCAGCATGGAATAGAAGAATGCTAGTAGCTTCCTATTAGGAAAGCCAAAAGGACTTAAGTGTCTTTTTGTCCAAATTAAAATGCGTTCTTTTCCTTAAGAAGCCAATGTAATTAATTACTTTATTTAAATAATTTATTCAAGTAGCTCACCCAATAGATTGGGGACTGGCTCCTCAGCGCCCTCTGCTGAACGTTGCCGAACTGCAGCCAATTTTTGTATGACGGGATTACGAGGAAGTGGCAGCCGTAGTGGCTGCATTATGTATAAACACACACACACACACACACACACACACACACACACACACACACACACGTAGGAAAATATTTAGTATACACATCCAGAAATGCATATACTATTATATATCATACATATATGTGTATATTAATATATTACACACACAGCACTACATCACACAACACACCACACAACTAATACTATAGATAACATATATAGTATATATATATATATATATATATATATATTATATATATATATATATATATGTAATAACACATTATAAAATAGATACCATTGAAATATACTCAGACATCAAACCTGACTTTTATGTCTTGTTGTTGTCAACTCACTTCTACTAAGTTGACTTTACATGTTTGTTTGATTGCCAATTAAACGTAAGTGTGTTGACACCGACTTGTGTCATTTTTTACAGCCAAATGTTCAAATTACCTGCAGATAAACAGTAGTCAAAGATAACCTGTCTATTTATTTCACGTTTTTCTTCAGTGAAAGCCTTCAGTGTATTTTGAGGACTGAAAAGTTTATCGGACAGACCAACTCAGAAGTGGCGGCTCCTGGCTCGACTCTGTCAGCTGGACTGAGTTTGTATAACAGAGAGAACGACGGTCCGTGGAAGTACAGAGCGAACTGGTAATTGCAAATATTAATAGTGAAACTTTTTCAACAAGACTCAGCTACCCCGCAGCAGCCCTGAAACACTAGCCCTCATCGTTTCTATTATTCATTACCAATAAATTACACAGTCACGCCGAAATTTAACATACTTGTTCGGCGTGTTTTTTGCTTTGCTCTTTAAATGTGAGAAACGACGTCTTACCGCATCCAGGTCCGCCGGGTGTTTAAAGAGTAACATGGAGGGTATTTAAACAGTCCCGTCGCCTACAGAAAACCAGTCCGTCCGAGCTCCCGGAGACTCTGTCACACAATGGCGCTGATAGGAGGAGAAAACTGCCTCCGCTTACAGGAACGCTGCTGCCTTCAAGAGCTGCCGGACCCGCTCGCGAGGTGAAAAGCACGTGCGCTAATGTCCCGCACTTTAGTGTCATTTTCCGAAAAAAATGAGTTTGTTAGGGTTATGTGGCACACATGAAAATCTACTATCGGATACTTAGGAGGGCTGATATATTTTCTTTTTAAACGTTTCACTTTGACGGATCGACAAAATGTGTAGTAAGAATACACAGCCCTTAACAAATACGCATTCTTTCCTTGTTAGATGGAATTGAGTTTCTGGAAGTGGCTTTCCATTGAGCATCAGTTACACTCCCGATGCCACTTTAATTTAACAACTGCATAATTACCGTTATGCCAGAATCCATTTTTGTCATGGTTCATATATTTACGAGGAACACTTGAACGCCACAAGAGAAGCTGAAACCGAACAGCTGCCCCGAAAGGCAGCGTCGTCAACTTTGCCCCGCCCACCCTTCCACCCACACACTCACTCGCTCTCTCTCTCACACACACACACACAAACACACACAATGTCTTAACGCTGTGCCTTCTCTCTCCCACTCAGTGTAAGACTAGTTAATTAAACATTAATAACATTAGAAACGAAATTAATGCATTGTCAAGGCTTCTTATATATAAGCAATTTTATACTCGTTTCAGATTTTTTTCGCTATTTCATATTGTCGAATGCATTAAAAAGATGAAATTCATTCATTTATTCCTTGATTAATACAACAGTAGTCAGTGGTGACGGAAATGAAGAGTGCACGGCCGGTGCCTTTTTAGCTGGTTACTGACATCCATCCTACTCTGCAGCAGATGGCAGGGTGATGTCCGGTAAACTCAAACAAAACCCGGCAGTCTGCTCCGTGCAGACAAAAACACCAGTTCACCGGCGCATCCTGAGGCACAAAATGGGCACACAGACCGTTTGTGGCCCCGATGCCCTCTGTTGCACGCTGCCCAGTTGTGCCCTAATATAGCCTCATAACACTTTTTTAAGACAGGCGGCATGTTCCTAGGGCAGCCTTTAATCAACTTGTTGTATTCCCATCTACTGGACCTCAGTGTTTCCAGATACCAACTGTCAGTTTCTGTGGTTTTAAAGGTGGCAAAAACAGGAATTAGACCTTTAAGGTACACTGCTCACACCAGGAAGTACACAATAAAAGTCACCTGTGCATCTTTTCAAGATATTTGGTTTAGAAACTTTGGTGATGACAATGTAAGCTATTTCTACAGCTCAATTATAACAAGCAGCAAAGAGGCTGTAAATATAGGTGGACACAAATTACAGTGTCACTCATTGTTTAGTAAAGTCCCGTCCCGTAAGTTTAAGCTCGGCATTTTGGCTATCAGGTTTTTTTAATGATTTTTTTAAACCATATGTTATATGAAACAGGTTAGTCTAACTGAGAAATTAAAAAAAAAATGGCAATCAAGTTATTTTTTGGTTATTTAATAATAATAATAAAAAGAATATTGTACTGACAAGTATTCAGTGATGAGTCTGTAACAATGTTTTCCAGCAAACTGATTAATTGTCATAAACCTAGAAATAATCTAGTAAAGCTATCTTGATAGCAGTGGACATCGCTGTTCTGCCAATCGCATATTATACGTGGCTACTACATGCACGCATTACGCCAAAGGCAGAGGAGATGAGATCTCTTAGGTGCTCGCATACCATTCAGGCAAATAAAACACATATGCTTTATCATCTGAGATGGGGTCCCCGTTACCAAAGATGCAAAAACACAAATGAAAGAGGCAACGCCACCTGCAGACTAGACATGAGACCCATCTGTCTCTAGACAGTTGACAACATGCTGGCTAAACATTATCCAAGTTAATATTCAAAACTGCAGTTTTGTTTGATAACATTTTTGCATCGTATAAGAGTTTATTTGCTATATACATGTCCGAGTCCAACAATGCAAGATCCACTTTAAGAAATGTATCACTAACTGCAGCTAACAGAGGCTAACAGCAGCTAACACTGGCAAAAGCAATTGCACTTATACACTGAATTACTCCCTCATTTTGCCAACGAAGCTAGCCAGCCAATCATAGTATCAGCTGATACTAACAGTTCCACACTGTTTTCCAAATGTGGTTATGTTTAGTTTGGAAAAAGAGAAAAAGAAAACAACAAGAATCTGATACCTAAAATGGCACATCAAGACTTTAAACCAATTTGTGATGCCACCGCAGCTATGTTCGTCTTTTCTTTACAGTCTTCATTTGCTAGACGCTTCCTGAGCTCTGTCTTGTGTCGTTTTCTTCTCAGGCTCGTACATCTCTTCACTCAATAACAAGCTCTGGCTCGTAATTAGCAGATATTCAATGAAAATTTCATGACACAAATTCTAAAATTTCACTCCTATCAACTTTCTAGTTCTTTCTCTTCTGTATACCAGATTATAGGACATAAGAGTGAATGACAAACAACACTCCAAGGTTTTGGGGTCTCTTTTCTCTCACAACTCCAAAGACATCACAGTTCAATACACAATCAAATGCTTTTGCTTCTGCGACTTTTTACACAACTTCCATTGATTCCACCATGTAATGTTCCACTTGCTTCATTTATAATTCTGGCATAACAGGGTCTAAATTCATGCTTAGATAAGTGCTGAGAGACATACAAAGTACAGTATTATTTAAACGAACTTGTTCAATGATTCAGCACTGAAGAACTTGTGGAAGCAACAGATCAGAAAGACAAATGGTTATTTTTGGCAACAAGGATGTATCCTATTGTTTCTTAATCATGCAAACAGACCCGAATGAAGCCCCGGCTGCTGTACAGATAACCAGTGGGTTAGCCAGGGTGCATACGTAGTTTCTGTGGTGAATGGAGATCTGATTTTAGTAGCGCGTTCATCTCTCTGGACTCTGAGTTGACTCATGAATGCAGAGCAGCGAGGAGGGATGGCTCTAAATAAAGATTTCAGGTCAAAAACAGGAAATGGCTCAGTGAGCAGGGAGGGCAGGGCCATAGCAACACCAACTGGAGAGAGCTGCACCCACAATATCCCTCCCTCCCTCCATTTATCTATTTATTTCTCCTTTGCTCTTTTATTTCCCTCACTGAGTAAAAGTTTTTGCTGATGCCTTAACCTTAATTTTCTTCCTGTGCCTCTGTTTTTGTCTCTCCGATTCTACATATTTTCCTGCCATTCAATTATTTCATTTTTTCCGAGGTTCTCATGTCAGACCAGGAACTAGATAACTTACTCATCACATATCAGGTTGTGTGCGTGTGTGTGTGTGTGTGTGAGTGTGTGTGTGTGCCACTATAACTGTGAACCTGACTCACGGTGAGTTCACTGGTCCAACTCAACACCCAGCGCATGAAGCTGCATCCATCCATCACCGCGCTTTCATCCATCACTGTGTTGCACCTTTGGGTGGTAACACGGGGATTATGGCAGTCACCAGAATTAGATCACGAACATCATGTTCCATTTATACTCAGCAGGACAACACGAGGTGCATTTTCATATCATCAGGCTCTCTAAATTCATACAGACACATGAGCTGAAAAATGCCACCGAGCACAACAGTTGATTCACACTCGTGTGTCTGTTAATCATAAGTGCCGTTGACGTGAACAATGTATTGATTATGTCCTCAGTTGTGTATTTTTCTTAGTAATACAGGAAGTATCACAGCAACTTCCAACCATCTGCTGGTGACTTATTCACTGAAGTAAATGCGGTCCTGCATGGCAAGCAGTCTTGAGTTTAGTTGCTGTGTTAAAGGCACATTGCTGTGCCTGCTGAACACTTTAACACCTCTGCTACTTGTATTACTACAACCATTACAACAACAGCCTACTGTACATTTCCAGTTATTACTGCTACAATTGCTGTTACTACTGATACTGAGTCCATCTGATACTTCATTTGCTTATTTTAAGGGGGAGGAAAATTCTGATATTGATATATCAAATTGTTTGGTTGTTTATCTCTCTGTGTTAATCCCGTAATGGACTGCCAACCTATCCAGCATGTAGCCCACCTTTCACCCTATTTAAGCTGGGATAGGCTCCAGCAATTTCCACCAATGTACATCACAAACTAGTGAAGACTGTGAAGACAACACCTGTCTTCACACCTTTAACTGATGCTCTACTGAATGTGCCACAGCTACAAATGTGGAAACAGTCAGATTTGTGCATTTGTGTTTCTAAAATTACCCTCTGAATGCATTATATTCTATACACAAGTTTTCCTGCATAGAGACAAATGCGATCAGTCGCTGTCACTATCAGCCAACTGATATTTGGGTCAGCTTCCAGAGTGGGTGAAAAAGAATCAGGATAATAAGGATAAGAATTTCGATTCTTGTGAATGGATTTCAGCTGGATGGTTACAAACGAACTGTTATTTTGAGTTATTTTTAATTGGTCTTCAATAAACAAATAAATAAATACTAAATCTTCAGTGCTTTTTTCATTCAGCGACTTAATAATTAACTCAACAATGATATAGTTTTTGAGTGCGTCATCTGTCGTCACTAATAGGCTGTATATAAAAGATGGAGATGGGCACTGTGAGGTCAACCATTGGTTTCTTACGTTTTGCTGTGAAGCCTTGAGCTGAGTGTTTCCACCATCGCCCTCTTCACTTTTTGAAACTAGAAGTCAAGAGGAGATCTGACTATAAACGCAAATCTTGTGATTGATACACTAAGTCGTTACCAAATTAGATAACCATTTTTTTGTGTTGTTATAATAAGATGACCATCAAAATTTATTAAGACTTGAACATTTAAAGGGCGTTTTTTACTGGGATCATATAGCAAGAGAGCAAAGGACTGTTTTCTCAGAGACTTCTACAAAACCTGCGGGTTTTTTGCAACCACGGTATTCGCCCCCTGCTGGTCATTAAAAAGAATGTAGGTTCAAGACACTTCTGCATTGGGTTCGCCCTTCACAGGTCAATGCCAACTTTAATAGCCAGTGCATGAACCAGATGTAGTTATATGGTAATTATTACATCTTCTATAAAATATAATTCATATAAAGACCAGTACCATTGCCCCTTGATCGAGCAAGCAAATGGCTTGTGGTGAACTACATTACAGTGCTAAAATACTTTGTCCCCATTGTTTGTTATCGTAAAGGATTATTACTCTGTCATCCCACACAAGTGGACCTTAATCTAATGTCAAAGTACTTGTGATTTACTGTAAAGGGATTGTGCAACAGAATGTTTACGTTCTATCACAAGTGGAAACTACACCGCTGATCATCTTTGGTTATTCTTCTCCCCTTTAAGTTTATGTCTTAAAATGAAGAAGAGTAAAACCAGCAGAAACATCCGTGTGTGCTGACAGATTTGGGGAGGGTGTGTGAAGAGAATATTATTAACACTATTAGACATGGGTGTGGCACACAGGCTCAACATGGAGAAAACATTGGGGTGGGGGGAGCAGGGAGGGGAAGGGCTCCACACCAAAAAACACCCATCTGCTTTCTTTCCCATTCTCCCTCTTTGTCTCTACCTCCTCCTCTTCTCTCTCATTGTCTCTTTGCCCCGTCTCTTTATCAGAGTCCACCATTGCCCCCTCTTTGGCCCAGACACAGCTGTTACCTCGGTCACGTGCATACACACAAAATCCTTTATCCCTGATGTGATATATCCGCAGTTAGTGGCACAATTTTGTGCTATACAGTCTAAACTGATATAACTGCCCACACAAAGGTGGACAGAGCCTGTTCCTCTCTCTCTCTCTCACACACACACTTCATCATCTTTTTTCTTCTCATTACATTGAGACTTCAAACACTTGTTAAGTGCCTTGACTCATGCACTTCAAAAGGGGAAGTACAAGTAAGCAAGGCGACTCGGCCTCCTACAGTGCTTCCATTTTAGTCGAATATGCTTCCAAAATGCAGTCATGGCGCTTAAACTCCCTGATGGTTTTTCTTCTAATGCTGGTGATCTGTGCACGCTGCTGTGACAGTCAATGGCCGGGTATGTCTGCTGATGTTATACGGAGGCTGTCACAAGCCAAATGAGCATTAATGAGATCTACAATTAATGGCATAGTCAGAAGAGCATTAATAAAATGTTGAATCTCCGAGTAGAAAATTTAGGAGCCAGTCCGTACTGCTGTAAGAGTGCAGCAGGAAAAAAATACACGAGTGCGAGCAGGCTTTTAGGACTTGTTGCACTGCATCCTACTGTTCTTCAATCACAGAGCAACCCTCACATCAAAAGAGAACACAAATCTTTAGGCCTCTCACATGACTTGAAACTGCAATCTCATGGTTGACATGACCCAATTATATCATTACGTATCCACAGAGATGACAAATGGGGCTTTTCAGTCTTTTTAAGCCTATGACTTGACTGCACTTGAATTACTGCGCTGTTGCTACATAATAAAAAACTGTTGTCTAAATATGATAAATGTGTGCTTATCTTGGGACAACAAGCTTCTGTACACCATGACCTTTACAAGCTGCTTTCATTAAAGAGCTCTTCCCTTTATCCTTAGGATAAAGTTTGTTATCTAAACTAAATTGGACAATTAAGCGGTGATCCCGGGTAAACAGTTTATTTCATGATTACGGGATTAATTATCTTGAGATACTGTAACTCAGAAACCACAGCTGCCACTGGTTTTAGTGCAAAAGCTGAGATGTCAGGTTTTATAGCTACACTGTTGGCCAAGCAGTCCAAATCAGTTTCATTCATGAAAATAGACTACGTAGGCTTAAATAAAGATGTAAAAACATTTAATAATAATTTAAAAAAAAGAAAAATTCAAAAATTCCAATGAAATTAACAAAAATTATCAGGAGAAAGCGAAGACTTAACAGCTATGATGTTGTGTAAACGATTATGAGAAGGCTATTAAAGCTAACCAGCAAGCGTTGAGTATTACCACTTTATACCTTGAGACTGGATAGTGACTCATTAAGGTGTTCATTCTGAAAATGCAGTTAAACAGGTAGTGGATGAAAGTACACGCAATGATGGAGAAAGTTCTCAGCTCAGCAAAAGACGAACAGGAGAACTAACCAGCTCGGGCTGGATTTTAGCCTTCCACCAGCATCAGGATGGCAACGAGGAGTCCAGAGGAGATGGTTCAGTTTCTCCATTTGGTCTGAATGGATAGTTTCCTCACTCACATCAATGGTGCTTTGACAGGTGTCGCAGTAAAAGAAACTATAGCTGATCGCTGTGTGGTAACTAATTAAAGTCACTGAACTTAGAAGTCACTTAGAGCAGCGGTCCCCAACCCCCGGGCCACGGACCGGCCCGTGAGTCATTTGGTACCGGGCCGCGAGAGTCTCAGGTGTGAAATTTATGGTTTTCAGGGTTTTTATCGTAAACTCGGTTTCCCTGGGTCTTTTCCTGTGTTGTATATGTGTGTCATATATTGAAATAAATATTTACACGTTACCATAGCGACCAGAGAGCATTAAGGGGCAGAGAGGAGGATGTTACTCTCAATGTTGTTGCTGCATTTCAGGAGGACGCTGCTAATAAAGTTACAGAATTACAAAGTTAATTCGCGTTTATTATTATATTTACAAAATACCACAGTTTTTGTCTTGGTCGAATTATTTTATTTTGTTGTATTTATCCGGGACACCTCAATGGCCGGTCTGTGAAAATATTGTCTGACATTAAACTGGTCCGTGGCACAAAAAGGTTTGGGGACCGCTGACTTAGAGCATTTTGCTGGAATTGTTCTGTGTAGAACGCCTCATTCAATAAGTTTATGCTTCATTCTTGTGGTTTGAATTCTATTATTAAAAAAACAAACTACAAAACTCATGGATTGATTCGTTGGCTACTCCATCATGCATATCAGAGTATCTGAGGACAAAATACTGATCCTTGAGTTTCTGCCAATGTGTGTACATTACAATTAACGAGTAATCTAATTACTATTCCTATCATTACAACGCCGTTATCGGCGCAGTCGCGTTACTATTTTTCAACAAACAGACAGTTGAAGCTGTGTTCAGCTTACCGCATCTTATATCAGTTGCACGGAAGTAGCTGTAAGTAATCTGGGCGCTACAGCTTTAAGCAGCTGTGCGCTCCCGACAGCGGCAATCACTTTCTGGCAGACGATCACTTTCTGGCAGACGATCACTTTTTGGCACAACACCTGGAGCTATGGGGCAAAACAGTCGCATGAGTGCTGCTGTTTGACTGAGGAAGAATAAAGTAGTCGTGGTAAGCCAATCACATGACCACTTCAAGATGACAAAGCAACAAGGTGATATATACCAGTTTTTAAATTGTGTTGATAGGCCACGTAAAACCAGAGTCATGATAAACAATATATATGCAGAGTTTTTGCTTATGAGCAAACAAAAAGCAGCCCGTTCGTGTTTGTGGAAAAATGCACCGTGTTGACCAATCAAAAATGATATGGCAACATGACATTTGGTTGTTTAGGAAGAGGGGGAAGTTTTAGGAGTGACGGCGAGAGAGAGAGAGAGAGAGAGAGAGAGAGACAGCAGAAAAAGAGAGAGAGCGAGTTTTGAGATGTGAGAGATTTGTGACGTTTAGCATGTTTTCTTGTGTAGTTAGTGTGCAGTGTTGTGGATAGTTTTGTGTTGTGTGTTAGAACAATGAAGCGACTGTTGTCTCCAGGTAGAAACAGGCGCAGTGATACACCTGCTGCTGTCAGACCTGCAGGTATCAGGCTGTGATGTTCTCCTTTATAGTGGACAGAAATAATTTTTTGGAGCGGCAGAAATAGTTTGTGTGACATCTTATTGAACAGCTGGTTGTTGTGTAAATAGTTTGAAATGGTTATTTAAAAAAAAAAAGGTAAAAGGTAAACGGCTGCAAATAACTTTGTTGTTTGCAAAACTTGTGCATAGGATTTTAAAATTGGCAACTGCATTTAAAGTTATGAAAGTTGTGAAACACGATTCATTAAACATGTTTGTGGTTGTTACAGTAAAAAAATTAAGTTTTTCTACTCTGATTTTATGTTTTCTGTCTGATTTTAGATCAATTGTGTTAATACAGTATGTCAAAATAAAAACATAACTGTAAATTCAGACACGTGAGGTTGTGCTGAAAAGGACGATGCCAAACAAGGCAAAGTAAATAGTTTTTAAAGGTGAAATGTGGAGGGAAAATCAAAAGTAGTAAAAAATGGCCAATTATACTCTGGACCCCAGAGGGTTAAACACTTTTTTTAAAGTAACACAATAGTTACTTTTCAAGTAATTAATTACTTTTAGAATATTGTAACTCAGTTACTAACTCAGTTACTTTTTTGAAGCAGTAACTAGTAACTATAATTAATTACTTTTTCAAAGTAACTTGCCCAACACTGCTAGCAAGCAGCTATTTTGATAGGGTCCAGTTAAGGAAATCCGAAGAAGTTGATTCTGTTCATCTGGACGTAGCGTTTCACTCCTGCTCCAAAATTCAACACGGCAGTGACCAAAACACAGACAGCAGACAGATGCATCCATCTTTTATATACAGTATTTAGAGCAACAGAGACACCATCTAGAAGAAGTTACTCTTCACGTTATACTTTTACATTTGTTCTCGTTCAGCTGTGATTGGATAATTCAGGCTGTTTCAACCGGATGGTTTCACATCCCGCCCATTAGTCATGCAGTGAGATCAAATCCGCACACCTCAGGCTGCTGTGAATGCAAACATCTGCTCATAACGGTCTGATTTCTTCCTTCTCTTCATATTGCCATTCTTAAAAGTCAAGTTAGTCATGTTCTATTACTGTATGCACTCTCTATACTGTATACCACGTTTTGGCTGGAAATTGGTATTTTTATTGGCAAATCAAGATAATCCTCCAGTTTTTATGAGCGTTGTGATGGAAGGGTCAACCAGACTATATTTAATATATTTCTTATCGTCATATTTCCATCACCAAAACAATCAAACGTTTCCTGCTAATAGGCATGTCTAATATATCTCTTACCTCTGTGCCATAAAGCTCTACTGTTATTCCAAAAATTGTAAAAATTAATTTTTATTATAATGGTTTATTACAGTAGACTTAAATTAGACTCAATTACTGCTGTAAATATCTAACCAGCCTACAGCACGCAGTACTGTCAGCGTTAATCCACAGCAGAAAAAAGCCACATTGGTACAAACTGCAGTACCTCAGTTTCAGGAAACGATTTCTGCTTTTTTATTCCTTTTTCTTTAAAAATAAAAAATTCAGATCTTAAAATATTTTGAGGCTTTTTTTCAAAATTGCGTTTCATTGAGAGGAGTAAGCTCGAGGTTGAGATCCAAGAGCACGGTGACCATTTCTTGTAAAACAGACACATTTTTTTTGACTTTTTCAAAACACAAAATGCAAAGTATGATCTTTAAATAAAAGACATTTCCGAGTTGCCATTTTCCCCAAACAAAATAACACCGCTTTTTTATTTTCTGTCCAGAGACTGAAGAATTCCGAGCGACAGCTCTATAAATAGAAAAGTTAGGTCGCTCTGCACAAAACTTTTCATCTTGCAAAGAGAGGGCTTGTGACTTGACTTGAGCATGGGTGAGAGAGCCATACAGAAAAACAGAGACAAAGAGAAAGAAAGGGAGGGAGGGAGGTATGTTTATTCACGACTGCTGTAACGCCTCCAGTGTCAGGTGACTTACAGGAAAGAAGTTGTTGTTCTCTCTCCCTCTCTCTCGTTCTTGCTCTGTTTCTCTTTCATTTGGGAACTTTTCTCTGTTTTCCTTGTTTCATAACTTCTGACATGAATTGTTTTTCTCTCTCAAGTCCCTGACTTTACTGCCCATGTTCTATAACGGATTAACAAATCAGAGTACGAATGCCAAAAACAGGCAAGAAGCAGATTACCAAAATTATATATGATAATGGACTTAAAGCGAAGTTGAAAGGAAAATAAAGCCATTATTTGAGGCTAAAACAACTATTTTAGATGTATCTTAGACCGTACTCAGTTATGTGTTTAATGAGGAGTTTCCCCAACCCTTTAATGTGTATGTGTGTGTGTATACCCATCCATAGCAAACCAGTGAGTGTGTGAGTGTCACACATTCCAACAGAAAAGCTTACCATTAGTAGTTAGGACACAGAAACCTCTGTCCACCAACTGAAAACACTGAATTCAGTCAGGGGTTAGCTCTAGCATGACTAGTACAGAAAATAGCAGCTGATGTGAGAAATACTGAAAGTGATGGCAGTCATAGCAGTAAATGTGTTAGTCATAGTAAAAAGAGGTGGAGTAGTAATAGTAAAAACTTGAGTGTTATTGCTTTTACCAACTCACTGCAGTGTCATTTCATGTGTGAGTGAATTCCTCCCACATGCATATCTTTGACGCTTTGCCTCCAACAGTAAATTCTGCAGCATTTTCTTTCTTTCCTTTCCTTTTTTTTTTAATGCACTTCATGTCAAAGCAAACTGCACTGAAAACTCTGTGGGGGGATATTGTAGCTGAAAACAGGAAGGTCATTAATCTTCGAGAGAAAGCGAGCTGACACACAAGTCAGGGCACACAAGGAAGCAGCTTTAGAGACTAGCAGCTAGTAGCTATACGGCCTAGCTGGTTATCCATCTTTCTTTTTCTCCCGATTTTCTGCTACCAAGCAGCTTCATTTTATGCGCCCCTATTCCTTCCAGTCACGAGATCCACAGAGAGATATTCTTCCTCTCTGGTGTAGCTTTTGAAAAACCAGGATGCACTCGGAACAATGTACAAAAGTAACAAGCAAAACAACGGCTATAAATTTATCGCTTAACACCCACCAAATCGCCGGGGAACTTGCCTGGGGGTTAGGGTTTCGTTTTTGCCACATGCAAAAATGGGCACATTTTGACAAACCTTTCTGTTAAAACAGGGGTGAAACATAAGGCCTAGGGAGCCAGAATTGGTCCCGCAAAGACTCCAATCAGGCCCACTGGACAACTTTGGAAAATGAGAAGGAGGGCATCAATTTTGGACTTTTTAACTGTATGTTAACAAATTTTACACCATTAACAAAGACCTCCCCCACAGTCATTCATATAACAGCAATGAAGTAATAGACAAACATTTAAATTACACAAAAAAATCATGTGTTTTCACTATATAAGTATACAACAAAAATGCTGTACTATAGAATAATATGTAAAACAGTAACAGTAAAGTATCGCATTTTATGTGGATCATCTATTTTATTTAACAAAAAAATTCTGCTTTGTGATTACAGGAAAGTCCTTGCAGTGAGCTGCATTTAGACATTTATTTCTTACAACTTAAGACCAGTGAGTCATGCTGACAGGTTTCTTTCAGTAACTACTTCAGCATTTCTGTATTGTGTAAAAAAAAGTCTTTTTCCTACATTGAGATACCTCC